AAAAAAGAAATTAACCAGGCATAGTGGTGTGCACCTGTAGTCCCAGCTACTCGGGAGGCTGGAGTGGGAGGATTGCTTGAGCGCGGGAGGTCAAGGCTGCAGTGAGCTCTGATTTCACCATTGTGCTCCAGCCTGGGTGATAGAGCGAGATCCTGTCTCAAAAACAGATAAATGAAGTAAAGATTTAAAAAGGGGCTGTACCAACGAAGTCCAAGGAGCACTTGCCTTGAGTTCTGTCCCGCTGGGCCCCTGCAGGGGGCAGCACAGAGCGCACCACAGGGTTGTACAGCCAGCCTAAGGGACAGGGGCTGGGGTTGGTTTGGGGGTGACCTGGGGCCTGCCTACAAGTTGGCAGAGTAGGCTTCAGGGACCAGGTGACGGCAGCAGGAATTGGGGCAGGTGTGCACCTACAGCAGCAGTCCTGGCACATCTCTCCCCCTCCGCATCCAGGTGTTCTCCCTCGATGCCCCCCACAGTACCTACAACCTCTACTGCCCCTTCCGGGCAGGGGAGCGCACGCGGCAGCTCGAGGCGCTGGCCCAACAGATTGCCACACTGTGTGCCACGCTGCAGGAGTACCCGGCCATCCGCTACCGCAAGTGGGGACCCCCACCCCGCCCCACCTCGATGCCATCCCCCCTGCCTTGAACATGTGCAGCACCTAAGCTTTAACCTCTCTTCTGACCCCAGCCCTCACCCTGGCCCCTGACTCCCACCTTCAACCCCATCCTTGACCCCATACCTGATGATGTCCCCCCGTGTCTGACCTCGCCGCCAGGGGCCCAGAGGACACAGCCCAGTTGGCCCACGCCGTCCTGGCCAAGCTGAACGCCTTCAAGGCAGACACTCCCAGTCTGGGCGAGGTGAAGGGGTGTGCTGGGGAGGTGAGGGGGTGTGCTGGGGGGGGTGAGGGCGCGTGCTGGGAGGTGAGGGGCAGCTCCAGCTGGCTTAGGGTTAGTGGCTCCTTCCTACCCCAACGCCCACCCCAGGGCCCAGAGAAAACCCGCTCGCAGCTGCTCATCATGGACCGGGCAGCCGACCCCGTCTCCCCACTGCTGCATGAACTCACATTTCAGGCCATGGCCTATGACCTGCTG